TCAGCCGGTCCTTGAAGCTGAGCGCGGCGCCCCACCCACAAGCCGCATGAGTGGACGCCGTAGTCAATGGTGCGACCGGTATAGTGGCCTTGTTGGTTCCTTCGCGTGCCCTGGGACTGAATGAAGACGTCATTGTCCGCCGCCAACAGCCTCCCCGAGCTAAGGTATTCCACCAGCGGCTGTTGCGTAGCCAGCCGGTTCCAATCCCCGAGCATAATGAAGTCGCAGCCCATTTGTTGCACCCATTCACAAACTTTCGAAATAATGGCTTGATTGAGCATGTCATCGTTAGCCGGTAAGTACAAATTCACAACGAGGAAAGGAGGACGCCCAGGACGATGGACACGGGCTGCCATCACCCGATGATCATGAACCACGGTCGCCGGCACCTCAATCTCTTGCGCAGGCCAGTCCGTGAGAATGGCAACGCCCCCCCTGGAGGCCCCCTTAGTGTCATAGCCCTGCGGCCCCACAATCAAATTCCATCCCTTGGCCCGAAAGGCTTGCCTTACACCATGCAGCGCGAAATTCGAAATACGAGTTTCTTGCAAACAAAGAAGACGGACCCCCGCCGCCACCGCCAAGGTAGAAACCTCAGCCAGTCGCATAGGCAGGCTCCGAACATTCAACGTCCCCACGCGGAGCTCGCCATCACGCGTCATGCGCATGGTTCCGCAGTCCTGCCGCCAAAGTCTGCCGAGCCCCATCGCCACCAGCGTCCTCGAGAGGCTCGCCAAGTAAGCGCAAGATATCTGCAGCCGTATGGCCCGCAACTCCACCAGCCTCGCTCAAAGCACGAAGATCACCATTGCGCTTCTTTTTGTAACGGCGCCCTCCGAAGTTGCATTTGACCGGGCGTGCCCCACGTTCATCAGACCAGGCCCCTTGGCAACGGACACAAAGGAATTTGATGGAATACCCCTCCGCACCAGGCCAAGCAACGGCATGCAACTCATGTTCGGCCGGCTCCTCCTCCTCCGCCTGCTCGGCGATCACTGTGGCGGCATCGGCGTCAATGACCTCGAGGGTGCGCTTGATGCCATCCAAAACCTCCTGCGTGACACTGGCGCCATCGCGAGCTGCTTTGAGGCGCTTAATGAATGCAGGCCGCTTGGCCCCCTGCGCTGTTCTCCTGCATGGCATTGCCCCCAATCTGGCCACCGACAACGAGAGCTGAGCGCATCGAGCACATAGCGCATAGACCAATGCATTACGCCGCTTTTTCCCCGATTGACCCGGTGTGGCCGGCAGGCGTACCAACTCCACGGTATGGTTGCCACCCTTTCCCGTCTTGATCTCCTGAAGCCGCGAAGCCACACCCGCTGCTTTCACCACATTCGTGGCCTTGGCGGCGCCTGCAGTGGAGGGCTTCAACAGGAAGAGGGAGATGTCAAGGTCAGGATGCTCCGTTTCTGCATGTTGCCGCCGGGCCTGCAACCGAGTATCATCACTCGCATCGTGGTTGGGCAGCCCCTTGTCACAGGCCGGGCATTTCCAGATGCAAGTGTCCTTGTTGTACGGCACCATCCCAATTCGCCTAAGGCGCATGCTAAGCTCCTCCCGCAGCTCCGGATGGAAGCGATCCACATGAGCCTGCTTGCGTTGCGGCCAGTACTTGCTGACCCCCGTAGAGTAACCGCACTCAGAGCACTTCCACCCGGAATTGGTTTTCAGGGCCTTCGGCTGCCATTTACGCGCACGCTTAGCACCAACTGGAGCTGGCGGCGGCGGCACGATGTCAACCTGCTCCTCCCCGATGAAGTCGTTGATGTTGCCAATGTCCTGTGTAGTAGTAGTAGCACTGGCCGCCGCACTGCCCCCAGGCCTGGAAGAAGAAGCGACACCGGCCGCCGCATCAATCGCCGCAGAGCCCCTGGAACCTCCACGACCCCACAACTGGCTTAAGGATCCTTGCACCAATGTAGACGACGAGCGCACTGTTCCTTGATTGCCAAACGAAGCCGCCGTGATCTCGGACTCAGCTGGCTCCTCAACCGCTTCGGCGACTGCCACACCCTGCCCAGCGGGAGTGAAGCAAGTGATCTCGGAAAGATCGTCCCCCACATCCCCACCACCACGATGTCCTGTCCAGTCGCCCGGCTGCGCTGCTTGAAGAATGTCTCCAGGTAGAGCGCCTCGCAACAAGTCATAATGCCGGCCCTCAAACCAAAGCACCACCGGATCACCTGCGGCCCCTCGGTTGTAAACAATGGGCTCGGCCTGCTGCAAAGTGGGCCCGAGCACGACAACAGTCCGCTTGATAGCCAATGCAATTGCCGCTGTTTCCAAAGCTCCTCCCCAAGACCCTTCCTTCGCGAGCATGTCGAGGTACACGGAGAAAGGAGGCTTGCCCGTCTCGGCTTCAATGGTCTTTTCGCCCGAAGTCGGCTCCCGACCATCCCACGAGGTTTCAAAGCGCCGGGGGTGGCGCTGCATCGCCCCAACGCATGCTGCGCGAATCTGTGCTGCAGTCCTTGGCTGAGCTGCAGTTGTAACTCCCATAGCAATGGATGCAAAGAGGCAGTTGCCGTCTTTGGCGATGTCGACTTTGGTCATCCCGTCGGGGATGGCATCTGTCCGCTGTTTCTTAGCTGCCTGAACGACCGGTGCCTCAGCGTCAATGTTGACAATGGGCACGCGCAAAGTGCCTTTGGACCCCGGCTTACCGCCCTGAACATACTGAACTCGCTCGAATTGCAGGGGTGTGGTTTTGCGAGGTTTGGGAGTGGACCCCATCACCGCCGCAAAGAATGTAGCATCACCAACCTGAACATCCAGATAGTCCCGTGCATCCGGCCGCCCCGCCCTAAAGCTCCATGAAGCTCCTTTGCGATTGACAGTTTTCCGCTGTAACGTGATGTGATCAAAGCCGACCTCCTGCAACAGACCAGTGACATCATCCGTTTGCCATTGCCGGGGGACTCCGCCGATGCTCCATGCTCTGACTCTACCCCCCTCCTCCGACTTACGCGGTCTTCGCACCCCAAGCTGAGCACTGCCTCGAGCGACACCCAAATGGGACGAAAGGGCAACCACTCGCTTAAGATAATCATTGTCCTCCTCACCCCCATGGCGCTCGACCCAATCGACTGCTGGAGGCTTTGAGGCCTCGCCGTCCAACGGGGCATCCCACCTCAGCGGCTCCACAAAGATGGCATTGCCCTGCTCCGTGCGCCCACTAGCTGAAATGAGATGCCTGGCAGCTGCCGGACTCACGCGAAGAAGGCCTGTGATGACCTCGCCCCGCGACTGAAGCTCGACTGCCCATCCCCATGTATCCTGAACACCGCGGCCATCCTGGAGAACTCCCTGCACCCATGCTCGAGCTTTGATCGCAGGGGATTTACGCATGTCCTGCCAACCAGTCTTGGTGCAATAAGGAGCAACCGTCGATAGCCGAAGAACCACGGAAGGCCTGGTCGTGGTCAAACTCGTTCTCGCCGATGCCACCTGCCCATGCGCCAACTTCGGGGCATCATCCCCAATGCGGATGACCCAGCACTCCTTTTGCAAGAGTTTGCCGTCTTCACGTCCGGGGATGCGGGCCCGCACCACCTTAGCATCAGGCCGCAAAGCAGTCAATGACTCCACAAAGATGCCCGGCATAACCGGCAGGACCACCGTGAGTGGCGCCGCCTCCTTACCACGATTGCTCGCCAGTGTCTCCGAAACCTGTGGCAAATCCTGGGCCTGAACCACCGCAGTCTGCTTGTTGCCAACGGAATTCGCATAAAGGCCCGCCTCAACGAACTTAATGTCAGCAGCAGCAGTCCAGTCCTGAGACCGAATGCGCCATGAAGATGCATGTCGGGTCACATTGCTGTTGCCCTTGCCCTTTCCTTTAGCGTCCTTCGGCAGCTGATCACTGCCCTTGCCTTTGCCCCTGCCTCCACTCTGCTGTGGCCCCGAAGTCGCAGAACCGATCGGGCCAACAACCGAAGATGGGCCCCCGCCAAGCGGGGGGGATGGCTGATACTTCAATTTCCTTTTCTTCTTCTTTTTGCGGCCAGATGGCCCGCCTGCCGGGCCAGTGGCCTGACCGCCGCCGAAACCATGCAATCCAAACATGCCCAAGGCCTGCTGAAGCATTTGTTGTGGATCCCCGCCTCCTTGCAGCATTTGCAAAAGGAACTGCAGCAGCATGGTAATGATAGCCCCATTCTGCCCCTCGAACCGCTTTCGTGCAGTAGTAGCGCTACCGGGCCCCGGATGGGAGGCCTCGCCTACACGGATTCCAATCCACCCGCAACGCCTTTTCAGGCGAATTTGAACCCAGACTTGCCCCAAAGCAGCAAAAACTCGTGAGAGACAGCAGCCACTTAGAGCAATCGCACCATGTCCAAAATGGGACTTGCCACCTGCATCAGGATGAAGAAAGGGCGGCAAATCGGAGAAGGAAAGGAGCAGATCTCTTGTCAAAGAAAAGACTTCCTCTAGCAATTCCATGGCGAGGACAATGAAAGCCGAATAGCCCTCAACGTCATCGATCATGAGCACATTAATGAAAATGCAATTCCCGTGGCCACCCTCTTGACCATCCAACTCCCCAAGCGCAATTCTCTCCCCCGGCATGTGCATGTCAACAGTCGCATTCTCACTTACACACACATCACAAGAATCTGAGCTCACAAGCGCTGCACGTAGCTCGCACCCAGATCCAGACACCGGTGGACACTTCGCGGGCTCAACGCGCACAAGCTGAGCCTCCGTGGTTGCCAAGATGCTGAGGTACATCAGGGGGCGGTCCACTCCACCACTTAGGTAGGGCGGACTCCATAGGATTCTCAACTCCTCAGTCACCGATAGAAAGCCGCCGATGCCATAGATCCCTCGGTGTTTCAGATCGGTGTTCGTCTGGTGAATGCAGACGAGGTCAAAGAAGACGTTGACAGATTTGTGTCTTGGCAGATATGGAGAGAGAAGGAGCGCTGAAGCTCCGCATAGTGGGGTCAAGAGCAGGGCCCACGGGCCAAGAGCACAAACCTCGCCATAGCCCTTGAACTGCGCGACGTAGATCATTGGCATGGGAGCAGCATCAAAGGCATACAGTAGCAGAGCCATGAAACCGCCGAGAAAGCACCCAAGCAATGCGTAGTGCCAGTTGAAAGCCAACAACAAAGACCGAAACTTCAGTGGCCCCGGTGTGAGCCACGTGTGGGACAGAAACATGTCGTAGCCACTTCCTGGCTTTGCCAGCGGCCACAACGCTTCCAGCTCGTTCTCCGCCATCCTTTGTGGTTGGAGCCGCCAAATCCAGCCCGCCCGCTGAAGGGAAGAACCCAGAGTGACGGATCGCAGTATGTCCTCGTCCACCAGCAGTAGCTGGGCTTCCACGGGCGACGTTGAAGCCGCAACTGCGGCCCGAGCACCTGACAGGCCCGCCGATGAGGCGCAGCCATTGTGGGGAGACGAACCCTGGGATGGGAGATCCTCGTCAGCAAAGGCGGTCCTTACTTGTCCGGCTTTGCTAGCCGAACTAGCAGTTATAAAGCTTCGGGGCTGTATTGAAATACTTATAAAAAAAAAACAAAAAGGTTACTTGCTCTACTTCCAAGACTCATTGCCTTGCCCAGAATTTCATGGCCAGCAACAGCTGGGTCAGCACATGCGTTGTCATGGCAGCAGCTGCTAGAGGAGAGGCCCATAGCGTGCCAAAAGGCCTGTAACGTACTGGTTAGTATATACCCTAAACCCTAAACCCTAAATCCTAAACCCTAAACCCTAAACCCTAAACCGTACATGTTACATGTTCTACTTTGACGGGTGGGGAGGTTCCCAAGCTTCGTCGATCACCCCTTGACTCGCCGAAGCCTTGCCCTTCACAGCTTTCCCTGCACTTCCGATAGCCGATCATTCTGAGCCCTTTCACCCAAAAAGTCCCTAAACCCTAAACCCTAAACCCTAAGTCACAGACATCAGGGTCGAAGCTCTGAAAGCTTACAAACGCCAGGGCAGAAGGCCAAAAGCATAATATGAATCCAGAGATTTCGAACTGGCTAATGTAGGGGCCTTAATAATCAGAACAGGGTTTGGGGCTTCTCTATAGTATATTTAATGATAAGGAACCCTGAGACTAATACTGGCTTTCTTTTAGGCTTCTATATTAAAATAGAGAAGTCGTGGATTCGGAACTTTGGGAGTCGGTGTTGAAGCTGCACCAGAACTGAAAGCTGTAATATAAGGGCCTTAATAACTAGAATAGGGTTCTGGGGCCTATTATGCTATAGTTATACTAAAGAACCCCCATGATAGTACAAACTCTAAACCCTAAACCCATAATAGTAAATAGTACACACTCTAAACCCTAAACCCTAAACCCCGAGAGTATAGCCCGAGCCCTGAAGCCGATATGAAGCTGCTCCGAGTCCCCCCTCCGATAAGGTATCCCCAAAAAAGAAACTACAATGGAGACTTTAGGGTTTAGGGTTTAGGGTTTAGGGTTTAGTGTTTAGGGTTTAGGGTTTTAGAGTTCATGGGATTGAAGATTGCATCTGCTCACTCTGAAGCCTTCAGGCAAGCTTGATCCGAAGATTGCCACAGTGCGGCAAGCTGAGTTCGATTCCCCAAGTCACTGCGACGACATCGTGAAATTCAGTCTTTTAGATCCCTGTGTGAGAAGAATGAACTTTCGGGTCATAGCTTACGACACACATATAGGAACCAGAAGGGGGACACTTTAACTAAACAGTCCGACCTCTATAGTAACCTGGGGGGTGGTATCATTTCGGTCCCATCAAGGACCCTCCGCATTCCATGCCGCGGCACCGGGTGTAGAAGCTCCACCGCGATAATTGCCCAGACGAGGATTGCCTTGCTGATGTCTCGCTGAGCTCTGTAGTGCTTAAGGTTTACCTATAGTCTCCGTTGTAGTTCCTTTTTGGGGATACCTTATAAGAGCCTTAATATATAATTGGTTAAACCAAATTANNAACTACAATGGAGACTATTGGTAGGATCTTGAAACCTTAGCCCTACCTTGTGTCGACGTCTGCAAACCTTAGGGTTTCGTGACTTTGACGCTAACTCCCCATTCCTCCCCTGCCTCCATCCCTTCCTAAAGCCCAATGATTGAAGCATCTGAAACCCCAAAAAACCCTAAACCCTAAACCCCTAAACCCCTAAACCCGAAACCCCTAACCCCTAAACCCCTAAACCCCGAAACCCTAAACCCTAAAAAAACCGTCTTAAAGGCGAACCCCGAGCCGGAGG